CACAAAAAATAATTGAATATCAATTCAATAAAAATTTAATTAATACACTGAATAGCGACATCTCTCGCCAGGACCGGTAGCTGTAAAGGTACTAACTGGGTGATAAATCTGTCAAAGATTTCTCATAGATGGCGCTACGACTAAAAAGTCGTTGAAAGACCAAGTACAAAGACACGACGCAAGCACATAGAAGAATTCGTGAGGTCCGTTGGTTCGTTCCGTGGCTTAGTTGGTATAGCGTCTGGCACGGTATGCAAGAAGACGTCGGTTCGAATCCGACCGGATCGAAGGAATTTTTTCTGAGTGCTTTTTCTGAGTGTTCGATCTTTGTATTAATAATTATAACAAACTAGTGGAGTAATTTCACAAAAAATAATTGAATATCAATTCAATAAAAATTTAATTATGAATGACTTTTTAGAATTGCGTCCTATCTCAAAAACACGTAATTTTTACTTTGGTTAAAAATCATATGCCGCCCAATGTAAAGCTCAATATTTTATTCACAATACTGCTGTATAATAATGAGTCAAAACATGTACTATTTGTTTTGATTAGAGTCATTATACTCGGGAACAACGAATTATCTTCTTTATTCCATTGAGATAGAGGCTTTGTTTGACATTCAATCTTGGTAATTGCCAGAATAATCATTTTTCACTTGTGTATTTTTTTCCTTTTTTCAAATCTGCCATTGGCTTGTTCTTGATGTCGATGAAAGAAAGTTCCTAATCGTACGAGCATCATGCCTTGTCACAGTTTGTGGTGATGTTCACATTTGTTGATCTAGTTTAAGATGAGCCCTTGTTGCAACAGTGTTGGGCTTTGTGAATATAACAGGTTTCTTGCGAACTTTTTCCTGTGGGTAAGGAAGTTGGGCTTATTTTTTTTTCCGTAGCTCTTTAATTCTTCTTTGATTCGAAGTATATATAAATATGGATCTCAGTATTGACTTGTATATGGCACAATTATATAATAACCTTCTAATTCATATTCCAGGCCTTAAGAAAACTGCCCAGCTACTTCAATAAATCGACACTGACTGTGACAGACGAGTACAGAGAGAATTTTCTGAAGGCCGAGGCTACTTTCAAGTTCCAATATGTATATGATCCTATTGAGAGGAAGATGGTTCGACTGAATGAGCCTGAAGATGAAGGTGAGTTATTTGTTTGGTAGTCATTATATTTTTATAATTACTGTAGTTTCACTCAAGATTTGCACAGCCCTACATCACTGTTAATATTTAGTCTGATCTCACTAATTACAACTTGGAGCCAAGACCAATTATTAAAGACCTGAAGTATTTTCCTAGTTTCGATTGTTTTGATCTCATGGCTACTTGTATCCGCTATTGGGTTTTTGATGTACTTGGAAAAATATTCGACGTACAGACAAACATGCAAACACTGACAAATATATATCTATCGTGTAGACACACGTGCAGCAAAATAAGGAGTTAAAATAATGAATATGACCATAGTGTGGACTGTGGGTGGTTTATTTGCATATTTTTGCCTATTTGGCACCTTCGATGTGCGTCGACAAAACCGACCAACGCGCGGCAACGCGAATTTGGTGTTTCCTGTATTTGTCGAATAGGCAAAGAAGGCAAATCTTTTCACACATGTTATCTACACATGGTGACTTTTGCCACCATCATATACATGCCCATCCCAGCGAGTATTGTGAGTCCATTAAGGGCAGCGTTGGGTAAGGCGGTGCAAAAGACTCATCAGCTTCATGACAGAATCTACAGTCTCTGTTGTATACAAATGCACGTACATCCGCACTGCACATGCAAGTGGTTAAACAAAACAGTGGTCATTACTTTCTACTGAAGTGCTTGTAAGTTGTAAATCACTTGTGGATGACAAAATAGGAAGTTGTTTAATAATAAAAACAAAAAAATATTTATTTTTGTCACAAGTTTATAAAAGTTTTAATTTACGAGTTTTTTGTTTAAAGTGGTATGGACATGTAATATGGGGTCATGGGATTCATATTCTAGGAAGATATCAAAAATGTTATGTCTGAGTAATGCCCCACAGTGAATTCCGTTGTTCTGGTACTCATAGTACAGGGAATTCTCTAGTGTGAGACCAGTGCCTATACCACGAGTTTACTGTGATAGTAGTCACAGCGCGTAAATTACTTCACAATTTTGTATGGCAAATTATGCAGTGTCTCTAGTAGTCACAAGAAGGAACAACATTTTGTATACAAACCATAAACATTTTACGCGATATCGAGCGATAACTGTCACTGCAATCTCATAGTAGAGGCACTGGTCATACATGAGATGGTATAGTGATTATATTGTATCTTATTTTTTAAGTTTTGCTTTTGCTATTTTTGCACAGGTTATGTAATTTAAAAGTCATTCATAATTTTCAGACACAGAAACAGCACTGTGCGTCAACGCAGGTGAATTGTTGGACCCAAAGACGGCATTTCAGTTAGCTTTGGGTAATATTGACCCGTTCACTCTTAAGAAAATGGACGATTACCTACCTGGAGATCTGCAACAGGTACATCGCTGTTATTGATTTGGTATGCTTCACTGCCCTATACAGGGTGTAAATTTGGGACGGGGCAGCAAGGCCAGCTACCTTAATCGTTGTAGTTACAGGAAAACGGTTCTAGAAGACTATCCATGAATTTTGAAGATATATTGATTGGCATTCACAGATTTAAAAAAAATGGTGAGTCAGCAAGATAAAAGGCAATTTATACAAAACTTTTTCTTTATGCCATTCGATCCAGTCTCTGGTAAGGATCAATAGTCTCTATGGGACCAACTGAGGTAAGAGTACCCGAAATGTCAGATATCGCAAAAAACTTATTACCATACATTTTGTAGGGACATCTAGTCATCAGTTATTCTAGGCAGTTAAGGAAACTAACAAATTAGTCTACAAATAAGAATTAAGTAAAACCAAATTTTAATAATAACATTATTTTTTGAATTTCGAACAGCTTTGTTTTGTTTTGTTAATAGAGAATTGTCACTTTTAATACGATTTTTAATCAAAATGTTCGCAAATGTGGAAAAAATAAATTTGAGTAAAATTTCAGCCGCCACTTGCTCTTTGCGAAAGAGAGCGAATCGATGCATCCGCCAAGGCGGATCAATTCGAGCACTTACTATCATGGATTTTGTATGTTATTTTGCTTTTCGTTATTGTTTTTATTTTGAAATACATAATATACATACAATACATAATATACGTATACAATTTGTTAATTTCCTTAACTACCTAGAATAATTGATCGCTAGATATGTCCCTACAAAATGTATGGTAAAAAAGATTTTTGCGATTTCTGACATTTCGAGTACTCTTACCTCAGTTGGTCCCATAGAGACTATTGATCTTTACCAGAGACCGCATCGAATGGCATAAAAAAGTTTTGTATAAATTGCCTTTTGTCTTGCTGACTGTACCATTTTTTCAAAATCTGTGAATAGCAATCAATATATCTTCAAAATTCATGGATAGTCTTTTAGAACCGTTTTCCTGTAACTACAACGATTAAGGTAGCTGGCCTTGCTGCCCCATCTCAAATTTACACCCTGTATATTCCAACTCATCTGATTATAGTCTGGTCAACTGATTGTATAATTTATTAAACATATAAAATTGACAAATAACTAGTGAACTAGTTATTAATTATTTCTCAGACATATTTATGTATATGAGATATTCAGAACAAGATGAATCGATGAAGTGATCCCTAAGTAGTCTGTCAGTACAGCAAATTATGTGTACTAAGTATTTCATGTTCTGTCGGAATCGTTACCAGTCGAATACACGTGTTGTCGAAGTAGTTTTTTGTCGGTGTAGTGAAGTGTTTGTGTAGTCGAAGTACTGTCGAGTCGAAATAGTATTTATCGAAATTAAGTATGACACTCTTATTTGTTCCCTTTTATTTTTAAATATATTAGGCAACTACGAAATTGTTTAGATGTCTGTAATAAAAATTAACTTATACATACATTAGTAATCTTTCACGGGAAGTGACTAATTCATTATCATCAGCTCTCAAAAAAGTATGCACTTTTGTATTAATGAATTCCAGACTGACAATGTAAAAACGAACACGTGGAAAGAAGAGCCAGTATCAAAGCATCCGAGTATATGGAGCAAAGATTTCATAGTACATTTAAGTGAAACACGCCCGTGGCAGAAGAAAGAGAAAAAAATTGAACCAATCATAGCACAACCTACGATAAGACCTCGGAAGAAAGTTGTTAATTTAGTGACTAAGTATGTTCCTGAGACACAGGATGAGAGGTAAGATTCTTTGGTTAATAGCACCCATTAGTATACGCCGTAAGAGCACTATTCACGTATACAGAGTGTTAAGTACTTGACAACACATCTTTAAAGGGTTTGTTGGTAACACAAAAGATTTGTTAGATAAAAGTTAAATCAAAATTTCTATTCCATATAAATAAATCAATCAATGCATTGACTTATAATTGTAAGTCAATGAATCAATGAGTCTGTTTTGTTAAACAAACAAGTTATTTGAAAACAATTATGTGCAGACCCTAATACCCTGATTTATTAAATTATGTTGAAGGGTTTTGAAAGGCAGTTTATGAAGAATGCAATTTATACAATTATTAAAATGTGTCAAGTATTATTTGAGTACAGTAGTCTTTATGTAGGGTCTAAAGCCGTAGAAGGTAAGCCGATGTAGGTCGTGCGCGGCTAATTTTTTTTTACATTATCAAGTGACGGCACGAACAAGTCGTGCTCCTGGTGTTCAGCGTTTTTAGTAGCAGTAGAGCTTCTTGTGAAGGTGTTCGTCCAGGGAAGTACTGCCACTTTACCTATTTCAGCCACCAAACAGTAATGTGAGCATTACTGCGTTCCGGTTTTGAAGGGTGCTTGTGAAATTACAGGCACATGAAACTTATCAGCCTGTGTATCGGGGTAACAGACGCAGTGGCAGTGCCCCTCAGATCTTTGTGTTTTAAATCTCTGAGTGACACTGCAACGGGCACAGATAGGCGTGTTGCTTACCATCAGGCGCACGTTATACGTTTCGCCACTTAGTATTATAAAAAAAGCAACACGCCTGTCCATAACAGTTGCATTGCCATTCAGAGCTTTAAATCCCAATGATCTGAGTAAGCAAAGTCCCATGTAATTTGACCAGCAATCTTACCCTTCAAAATCGGAACAGAGTAATACTCACATTACTGCTTATCGGACTCTTTCACAAAGAGCTCTATACTACTAAAAAGATGCTTCAATGTGAGACATTTTCTGTTTGTATCTATCCCTAAGTTGACGGGAATCATGTTATTTGTTCCTTTTGGCACTGCCTTTTTTGTGACTGGGCGAACAATTCGTGCGTCTGGTAGTATTCGAAACTATGTCCGTATCATATCATTGTCAGTATGTACACATAACCTTTTTTTGTTTCAGCTTAACTATAGAAAATCTAAGCAATATGTATTGTATAGAACCGGCTAATAAAAAACAAAAAATTGACGACAACGAATCACTAACACAACACATAGAAAAACATCACGATGTAGCATTGAACGAAACCGAAATATCTAAAGATAATCTTAGTATATTATCAACAAATAAATCACCTGTTTTAGAAAATAAACAACGCTCATTCACAAAATGCATCAAGAAAAATTTACCTATATTAAAAAGATTAAGTAAATTCTCTCGAACAATTTTAGACGACAATGTAGTTGAAAGCAAATTCTTCACTTTTAATGAAATTGATAAAAAAGATACGTGTAAAATGAATACTTCAAAAACAAGTATAGTGATTGAGGAATCTCCTGAAAAGAGATGTAGGAATCCTTTTAAAGTGCAGAAAGTGGATATTATGTTTAATAGGGATAATGATATGAAATTGTTAGAGCAACCTACGGAAATTGATACACAATGTTCACAAATACCCGATTCTCAATTAGAGAATTCCCAGAAAGAGAATTCTCCGCAAAATAGTCCTAAAAAGGTACCAAGGAGTCCTATTCTGGAACCAAGTCCTAAAATAAAGAAAATGTTTAGATCACGAATGGAAAATGTTTTTAACGAAGGACAAAGCGAAGAATCTGTGATAGAAAATACATATCCGATGGAGAAACTGGTGACGCCAGTTGATTCCCAGGTTAGAAAGTTTCGTTAATTTGCTTAAAAACATGGTATATCAGTAGATATAACAATACGGTTCCAGTACTGGAACTTGTTAAATAGCATGCAATTTCCAAATTGTCCACTTATAAAATAATGACTAATACAATAATAATAATGTATAAAAATTATGACTTATTATTATTGATACATAGATGGAACAAACACAAAGAAAATTCCTGCGATCCGGCTCGACTCGAACCAGTGAACTTTCATAGGTTTCTCAAAGGTGTTGCTAAGGCAAAACGGTACTTAAAAATAAAAAACAAAGACATGCAACAAGCACACAAATTCGTACTTTCTGCTAACTAATTCCAAACAGTTGGGAGAGCGATAGCTCCGGTTTGGCGAAAAAGTAGCTAGCAGACAACAAACTAGCAGAATATTTTCACAAAAAATTAATACATGACGTATTTTTTTAAAGTAAAACTATTTGTACTAATGTAAAATATTGCTAGCATGCGCGACAGATTTTTGAATCGCAGTGTAATCTACGAATCATCATTTGCTTAAACTAATAACACTGAAAAGATACCTCTAGTCCCTAAGCCGCATTGAGCTAGGTACAAACAATAAAATTTAAATTTGTCGGATGAAAAAAGATTAGACTAATCAAACAGCTTTTTAATCTTTATCTAGTAGTTTATTATCTTCGAATTTGTTATAATTTGATAATATTAAAATTATATTAACTATACTGAAGTCACGTTGCAGTTCCGCATGCTGATTTTGATTCAAATTAGAATCGAACCGATACGATCGGGTAGTCTTGAAATCAGATGAGTTTCAGAGCGAGAAGGTGAACCTGATTCTGACTATATCTTTCTAATTTGTGAGTTAAATCAACTATTGTTCCAATTAGAAATGTCAAAGTTTCCGATCGGCCACTTGTGACTCGCAATTATGCGCCTCGGCTCGGAAGAGACGCACTTTCCGATCGGGAGAGGCAATCAAAATCAAGCTGCTGATTTTCTTAATGTGGGGTTGGGGTTGCTATGAGTGTGTGCGTTATTATTTTATTTATTATTTATTCCAGACTTCATACGGCGAATCTCAAGAGGCAATTATTCCTTTGTATAAATCGCAACCAAGTAGTCAGCCAATTAGAAACAATATCAGAAACAATTGTCGAGTGCCTGGCCTTAAGCGGACAAATTCGTTGCCCAGCAACCAACCAACTCTGTTGAGCAAATTTGGCTTTCAGAAAAAGTAAGTAGAGACTGACAATATTGTGGAATCGTCTTTTCGTGTATATAACTGCTACCCGTAAACAACCCCTCTTCTCGTTAACTGCCGTATCTGACATTGTTGTCGTAACTGAGCAAGCCTGATTGGTGCCGTAACAACAGCGTCACCGCCACCGCTCCCGCACACTAGTTGTAGTCGCCCTTACATTTGTTTACACACTTTGATTTTCATTTCACACTTTCATTTTTATTTTTTATTGTATTGCTTAAAAAATAAAGTAATATTGACCTTATCATCTTATTTCATGATCATAAAGTTCTTTTTCCTTTCAGACCTATATTGAAGAGATAGTATACACGACATCCTGTGATCTCAAGATTATTCAAGTGTTAGATTAAGTAATAATAATGTTAAGTTTCAAAGCATTTCCAAGTTGCTATTAATTTGTTTAATAATTTTCATATATTGTGTTTTACTCAAAGTATATTTTATTATGGAGTGCATTCTGTTGCTTGCACATGAGCTGCGGTACATTCAAATGCAAACTAAACTTAATATAACTCCAGAACATTTGGTAGGCCAATGCTTCCAGAATGACAGTTCGTTATCAGCAAGAAAGGACAGATTTGAGTTTAAATCGGTCAAGTAGTTGTGATAAAACAGCTTTTGAATTAAAATTATATATTCTGTACCTTTCTACAGTTGAAAGTGATAGGTGTACTGATATTACGTTAGACATTGTTTTGCACAAAAGATTCCAATTCACCAAGTTTCAAGTTTGTAGATGTTTATTTCATAAGAGTACATTGCTAGTAGCTAACTGGAGCGTTAACTAAAAATCACATTTTGTCAGGTGGAGCATTTTGTATCCTTGGTATAATTATGTCACACATCTAAAGTGTTTTTATCACATGCACACAAACTTTAAACCTCTACTGAAATATTGTCATTTTGCAGATGTGACGTTATTACACCAAGGGTGCGATTTCTGCATAATTACGTCGAATTTAGTTTACGTTTGCACGAATCGACACCATTGGCAACCTTGGCTCATTTTAGACGACGAAATAATGGAGTAATATATTGTAAGCCAATGTCAACATCAGGCAAACTTTTTATTAAACGATTCTACCTCTTTTTAAGTATGTTCGCCCTTATCACAAATGACCGTTGCAGTACCATTTCAGGTTTTTGTTTATTGTTTTTGGCCACACGTTGAGATTGGGTTTTTTAATCGTGGAGTAAAATGAAATATACTGTAAAGTACTAGTTAAGAATAATGCGGTTAATAAAGGAGTTTCAGCTGGGGGCACTAAAGCTCGCTGCACGTTGATACATCATTATTATCATCAAGCTGGGCTAATGCGATTTGGGAACTTGGCCCGTCTGTTGAACAGTTTAGCTTAGTTACGTGGACCTTTTCCGTAATGCAGGTTTTATCATCATATCAACGTTAAGGAAGTGAAAATTAGTAATAAAATTTTGCTTATCTACTATTTTAATTCCTCTTTCTCTTTTATTTACAATAATTGTACTTCTGCCGTATAGCTAACCTGTCGAATCCAAGAATCTACCCAATCCACGAGTCTTTCGAATTACGAATCTGTCGTATTTAGAATTCGTCCTGTACTGCGTGTTCGAACAAGGGAATTTTGCATATGAAACGTAGAGACTCTGTTACGTTTGATAAAAAAAAGGCTATTTGCGTGCGCTATAGGCCAATGTAAATAGAATTCAGATTGTAACAAGCTGCATTTTTGTGGAAAAATTTAAATGCATTAGTACTCTTTAATTCTTAAATATCAATTAAAATGCCATAATGCTGCTGATCACATTACACGAGAGAGGCGCCGGGTTCGATTCCCGGTGGTACAAATTTCAGAAATGAACTTTTCTAAATTGGTTCTAGTCTGGATGTTCTGGAAAGTGCCCCAGAGTGAATTCCGTTGCTCTCTGGTACTCGTAGAACAGGGTATTCTCTAGTTTGAGACCAGGTAATTGGTCTAGCTCATTATTATGATTACTTGTGTATGTTTAGTAGAAAAACCTCTTGATAATTCTCTTCTGTTTGGGTTGAAGGCAAACATGATGAAACCTGCATATCGAAAAAGGTTCAGTCTTTGGAAAATTTGATACAAATCGTATTAGGTTAGCGTGCAGAACAATGGCCTAAACACTTTCCCTATAGGAGATCTGTGCCCCGCAGTGGGACGTTAATGGGTTGATGTTGATATTTATTTGCCCCCTACTCAGGGCTTGCTTGCACAGGTTATAGTGCCCTTCCCGTATAATCAAGAGTTTGATAGAAAGGGTCATTATAAACCAAACTTATGCAGAAAAGATATTGGAGCTGCTCCCTACTCAGAATAAAAATCGTTGGATGATAATGTATTACTTTTGAGATAACGAATATATGTACGTACATACGCATTATATATATTTTTGTTATTTTTGAAAGGACGATCGTGAAGAAAAGTTTTGTTTTATTTTAATAAATAAGTATTGATTGTAATAAATTACGTTTTAATTGTGATAATAATATGAGACTTTCGACAGTGATAAAATGTGTTTTATTTAACTCCTAAAAATAGGAACAACACATCAAGCTTGGCACTTTGAATAATTCTTATCGTAAGCGACTTAGAGTGGAAATTAAATTTTAAGTGTCGGGTGCTTTGTTCCAGCGTGATTTAGTCGGTTCTAGTTGCAAAAAACTAGATTTAGTCGGTCCGCCGTTCACAAGTTATAAGGGTGTTTTACTGTCCACGCTGGAACAAGCTTATTCCAGGGGCACCATTTCTCAATCTCGAGAACCACAACATTTAGCTTAGATCTGATTACACTAAAAAAAGTCGTAGCTAGGAGCTATGGTTCTCGAGATTTTATGAAAATGGTGCCGCCGGAATATGCTTATTTTAGCGTGGACAGTAAAACATTAATAACTTCAGAACGGCGTAACGACTAAATCTAGTTTTTTACGACTAGAATCGACTAAATTACGACATTTTTTAGTGTTCTAAGCTAGGTGTTGTGGTTTTCTACATTGAGAAATGGTGACGCTGGAATAAGCTTATTCCAGGGTGGACAGTAAAACATCCTTATAACTTTTGAACGGCGGATCAACTAAATCTTGTTTTTTTCTGGCTAGTCAAATTTCCAAAATTCGACCATGGTCACGCTGGAATAAGGCACATTTAAGTGTCAAGTTAACGTGCACTTGACCTGCATACTATATAAATATAAAGGTATTCCATACAAAAAGCTGACAATTGAATTACAGCGAGAGTAGGCGATATGAATATCACCTTAACACGATTCCGCCATATTGGAAAATTTTTGGTCCACTCAGAATCTGACCATTTGTGGTTTTGTTGTTTATTTGAGACTCACAACCCCCTCTCGTATACGAGTAATTACTACAAGTGCTAGTTGATTCTTACCCTTTCTCCTTTTCGCTGCGCAGTTGGCTTTTTAAATACATGTTGATAGCTCTTAATCTCTGTTTTATAAAGTGAAATTCTGCTTGAAAGTTTAACATTGTCAATTGAGCTCTTATTCCATTGGAGAATCGTCATTTTTGATACTGTTGTTTGTTAGCTAGATACGGCTGCATATTACATTACAACCAAGGTATTAAAAATAGAGTATTTTTTAAGTTCAAATTCATCAAATAAGGCCTACCTGACATCGCATATGAAACCAAGTACTGTTGTAACTCAACATTGTGGAGTGGAGAAAACACAATTAGAAAATTAAAAATAAAAATTATTTACACATTACAATTATCCATTTATAAACCAGACTATATTATTATATTGTTTTCAATCAGTATTTTTTTTGTTAATTTTCCCATCGTCTTTTTTTAATTCCATAATTTGGAGTTACGATAGTATTTGGTCTCGTATGTGATATAGATATATTATAGACTATTAAGACTCCAACAAAGCCACGAATTTACAATCTAATAATACTTATTTATTCCTTATTCCCCAACCCAAAAAAAGGTCAATATGACTTGGCCGCGTAATAAAGTCCATTTAAAATTAATCAGATACGCAAATCGTCATAATACGTTTTTAACAAGGGTTGTAATGCGCGTTTCTTATCCTCCTAAGAGTAACACGGCTAAATTAAACAGTTCCCCACGTATTAAATAAAACATAAGATTGTTTTGATAACTCGCTTCATTAAAGCTATTCCCCCTGTGAGTTTGGTAAGGCAATTTAAAAAGGCTGATTTATATGACTATATCGCATATAATCGTGGTGAAATCTAATAACATCGGAAATCAAATAACATGTAGCGTAGTATGTACTCGTAACAATAAAGCACCAACATGATTTGTAGTAATTTTTGTACTTTGGTTAAATTTGAGTTCGTGATAAGTACCTACTTGTCTCTCCTCGACGAAGATGACCCTGGTGGCCCAACGGTTTGCCTCGTGGGCGCCTGAAGAGGTCTCGAGTTCGATTCTTCGATGAACTTTAGAATAGTTTCCCGGCAAGATCAAGCTTAGGGAAAAGAACTTTTCTGGGCCCTGATTTTAATTCAAAACGGAATCGATCCGATCGGGTAGCCCATCCGCAATTATATACGCGTCGACTCGGAAAAAGACATAGTTTCCGATCGGGAGAGGCAATCAAAACCTGGGCCCTGGTGGGTATTCTGGGTGTCCCGGAGTAAATGTATATTACAGGGAATTCCCCTTGAATTTCCAAATTTGACACCAGATGTTGGTTTTCTGGTATATTATTTCTGTAGAGATCGTTTATTAGTGTCTAAATTTTCTACTGCTTCTGCTTATGCCAGTTGGCCGTAACCTCAAGTCTACTCTATCTATAATTTATTGACATATTTAATCATCAACATCATTGAGAAATTAATAGCAAAGACTATAAATAATGTCTAAATTGTATGTGACGTAGTAATCAATAATATATATAATACAAAAGTCAATACGGCGAATCCTCTTGCCCACTGAAGGCGACAGCTACAGAGTAGGTACTCTGTTTTAGCGATGCGTTAGTAATTTACTAATCCTGTCATTCGCAACCTACTAATTTTCATATTCGAATGATCCGAATGATCATTCGGATTCATTATTAGTAATGAATCCGAATGATCATTCGGATTCATCTAATTAGTTAGTATTATTAATCCATAGATTCCATATAGCATTTGTGCCTAGCCCTCTCTGACATATGGTAAATATAATTATATGATGGAATACTTACTTACTTAGTTATAATTATTTTCCCCGGTGTTCGGAAATTCGGGTTATAAACGAACTCACTCCGCTTGCGCCGCAGGCTCTTTTGATGCGTCGCGAGGGGTGTTCGGTGCGTCCTAACACCTTGCACTATAGACCGGTTGCTAGTGCAGTAGTCTTCTACTTAGTGTAAATACTAGAGTCGTTTGACCAACGTAGTTCTTTGCCGAAGTCGATTCGGTCGATTAAGTGTAATTATTGTTGCGCGACTCGGTCGCTTTTGGCCACCGACAGTCGACCAAACTAGTTTGAACGTGTCGGCGGCCGCATCCCACCACAACACGCTTGCTGGGTGCCTGAAAATACTGTGTCAGTTTGACGAACGTTTCGAACGATATGTTGTGTCTCTGTGCGTATACTTGTATTTGTAACGACTTGGTGATATTGGCGACGGCGGCAGTGTACTCTGTGTAAACAGCGTGTCGACTGCGCCGCCTTCGTCAGCCGAATTTGCTTGCCGAAGAGGCAGCAGTCGACTCGGAGTAAATAGCGAGTCAACTGCGTCTACTTCGGCAAGGCGAAGTAATTTATTTACAGTTGAATCATTTGGAATATATTTAGGTTCAATTATGACATACCTAATGTACCTATTCCTCATACATTGCCGAAGG